ACCTAAAGAGACAACAGACATGGTCATATGAGGACGGTGACTAGGGAGACAACAGCCGGGGTCATATGAGGACGGGTACTTAGGGAGTCAACAGCCAGGGTCATATGAGGACCGTGCCTAGGGAAACAACAGACATGGTCATATGAGCACAATGACTCGGGAGACAGCAGCCAGGGTCAAATAAGGACGTTGGCTAGGGAGACAACAGACAGTGTCATATGAGGACCGTACCTAGAAAGACACAGCCAGGGTCATATGAAGACGGTTACTTAAGGGGAAATAGCTAGGGTCATATGAGGACCTTGCCTAGGGAAACAACAGACATGGTCATATGAGGACAATGACTAGGGAGACAGCAGCCAGGGTCATATGACGATGGTGGCTAGAGAGACAACAGCCAGGGTCATATGAGAACGTTGCCTAGGGAGACCCCAGCCATGGTCATATGAGGACGGTACCTAGGGATACACAACAACCAGGGTCATATGAGGACGGTTCCTAGAGAGACAACAGCCAGGTTCATATGATGAGATGTGCCTAGAGAGACTACAGCCAGAGTCAAATCAGGACGGTGCCTAGGGAGAAAACAGCCAGGGCCATATGAGGACGGTGCATAGGGAGACAACAGCCAGGGTCATATGAGGACGGGTACTTAGGGAGTCAACAGCCAGGGTCATATGAGGACGGTACCTAGGGATACACAACAGCCAGGGTCATATGAGGACCGTGCCTAGGGAACTAGGGAGACCCCAGCCAGGGTCATATGAGGACGGGGCATAGGGAGACAACATCCAGGGTCATATGAGGACCGTACCTAGACCGACAACAGCCAGGGTCATATGAGGACGGTGCATAGGGAGACAACATCCAGGGTCATATGAGGACCGTACCTAGACTGACAACAGCCAGGGTCATATGAGGACGGTGCATAGGGAGACAACAGCCAGGGTAATGTGAGGACGTTGCCTAGAGAGACAACATACAGGGACATATAAGGACCGTACCTAGACTGACAACAGCCAGGGTCATATGAGGACCGTGCCTAGGGAAACAACAGACAAGGTCATATGAGGACAGTGACTAGGAAGACAGCAGCCAGTGTCATATGAGGACGTTGCCTAGGGAGACAACAGCCAGGGTCATATGAGGATGGTTACTTAGGGAGACAACAGCCGGGGTCATATGAGGACGGGTACTTAGGGAGTCAACAGCCAGTGTCATATGAGGACCGTGCCTAGGGAAACAACAGACATGGTCATATGAGTACAGTGACTCGGGAGACAGCAGCCAGGGTCAAATAAGGACGTTGCCTAGGGAGACAACAGACAGTGTCATATGAGGACCGTACCTAGAGAGACACAGCCAGGGTCATATGAAGACGGTTACTTAAGGGCAAATAGCTAGGATCATATGAGGACCTTGCCTAGGGAAACAACAGACATGGTCATATGAGGACAGTGACTAGGGAGACAGCAGCCAGGGTCATATGACGATGGTGGCTAGAGAGACAACAGCCATGGTCATATGAGGACGTTGCCTAGGGAGACCCCAGCCATTGTCATATGAGGACGGTACCTAGGGATACACAACAACCAGGGTCATATGAGGACGGTTCCTAGCGAGACAACAGCCAGGTTCATATGATGAGATGTGCCTAGAGAGACAATAGCCAGAGTCATATCAGGACGGTGCCTAGGGAGAAAACAGCCAGGGCCATATGAGGACGGTGCATAGGGAGACAACAACAAGGTTCATGCTAGGACGGTGCCTAGGGAGACAACATCCAGGGCCATATAAAGACGGTGCCTAGAAAGACAAGAGCCGTGGTCATATGAGGATGGTACTTAGGGAGACACAACAACCAGGGTAATATTAGGACGGTGCGTAAATAGACAACAGTCAGGGTCATATGAGGACGGTGCATAGGGAGACAACATCCAGGGTCATATGAGGACGTTGCCTAGAGAGACAACATACCGGGTCATATAAGGACCGTACCTAGACTGACAACAGCCAGGGTCATATGAGGACGGTGCATAGGGAGACAACAGCCAGGGTCATATGAGGACGGTGACTAGAGAGACAGCAGCTAGGGTCATATGAGGACAGTGCCTAGGGAGACAATAGGTAGGGTCGTATGAGGACGATGACTAGGGAGCCAGCAGCAAGGGTCATATGAGGATGGTGCCTAGGGACACAACAGCCAGGGTCATATAAGGACGTTGCCTAGGGAGACAACACACATGGTCATATGAGGACGGTGACTAGGGAGAGAGCAGCCAGGGTTATATGAGGACGTTGCCTAGGGAGACAACAGCCGGGGTCATATGAGGACGGGTACTTAGGGAGTCAACAGCCAGGGTCATATGAGGACCGTGCCTAGGGAAACAACAGACATGGTCATATTAGCACAGTGACTCGGGAGACAGTAGCCAGGGTCATATGAGGACGTTGCCTAGGGAGACAACAGCCAGGATCATATGAGGACGTTGCCTATGGAGACAACAGCCATGGCAATATAAAGACGGTGCCTAGAAAGACAACAGCCGGGGTCATTTGAGGATGGTACCTAGGGAGACACAACAACCTGGGTAATATCAGGACGGTGCCTAAAGAGACAACAGCCAAGGTCATATGAGGACGGTGGATAGGGAGACAACAGCCAGGGTCATATGAGGACGTTGCCTAGAGAGACAACAGACAGGGTCATATGAGGACCGTGCCAAGGGAAACAAATGACATGGTCATATGAGGACAGTGACTAGGGAGACAGCAGCCAGGGTCATCTGAGGACGTTGGCTAGGGAGACAACAGGCGGAGTCATATGAGGACGGGTACTTAGGGAGACAACAGCCAGGTCATATGAGGACAGTGCCTAGGGAGACAAAAGCCAAGGTCATATGAGGACGGTGACTAGGGAGACAGCAGCCAGGGTCATATGAGGACCGTGCCTAGGGAGACATCAGCCAGGGTCATATGAGGTCTTTGCCTAGGAAGACAACAGCCGGGGTCATATGAGGACGGGTCCTTAGGGAGACAACAGCCAGGGTCATATGAGTACAGTGCCTAGGGAGACAAAAGCCAGGGTCATATGAGGACGGTAACTAGGGAGACAGCAGCCAGGGCCATATGAGGACCGTGCCTAGGGATACACAACAACCAGGGTCATATGAGGACGGTGCCTAAATATACAACAACCAGGGTCATAAGAGGACGGTACATAGGGAGACATCAGCCAGGTTCATATGAGGACGGTGCCTAGGGAGACCTAACAACCAGGGTCATATGAGGACGGTGCCTAGCGAGACAACAGCCATTGTCATATGAGGACGGTGCCTAGGGAGACAACAGCCGGGGTCATATGAGGACGGTGCATAAGGAGACAACAGCCAGGGTTATATGAGGACGGTGCCTAGGGATACACAACAACCAGGGTCATATGAGGACGGTGCATAGGGAGACACAACAATCAGGTTCATATGAGAACGGTGCCTAAATATACAACATCCAGGGACATATGAGGACAGTGCCAAGGGAGACACCGGCCATGGTCATATGAGGACGGTGCCTAGGGAGACAACAGTCGTGATCATATGAGGACGGGTACTTAGAGAGACGACAGTCAGGGACATATGAGGACGGTGCCTAGGGAGACACAACATCCAGGGTCATATAAGGACGGTACCTAGAGAGACGACAGTCAGGGTCATATGAGGACTTTACTTAGGGAGACAACAGCCAGGGTCATATGAGGACGGTGCCTAGGGAGACAACAGCCGGGTTCATATCAGGACAGTGTCTAGGGAGACACACCAACCAGGGTCATATGAGTACTGGAATAGCGAGACAACAGCCAGGGTCATATGTGGACGATACCTAGGGAGACACAACAATCAGGGTAATATGAGGACGGTGCCTAGAGAGACAACAGCTAGGGTCATATGTGGAAGGTGCCTATGGAGACACAACAACCAAAGTCATAATAGGACGGTACTTAGAGAGACACCGCCTGAAACAGAAAGTAGATAGAAAAGACAGGCAGACAGAATAGCTTTCCGTCAGTTTAAAATAATGTGTTTAATGATAAGGAAAAGTCAAACGTGCTTATAATAAACATCTTTCAGAATGTTTAAAAAAGAACGTCGATTTTATCAAAATACAATGCAAACATTCAATTTAATCCACTGTTGAAGTCCATTAAAAGACTGTTTCCCAGATGTAATGGTACTAAGAACGGTATATAAATGTTTGGATATCGGTTTGGTTGAGCAACTTGCAGAACAATCGATAAATATGTTTTTCTATGGAGAAATGCTAAGTTTGTGTTAAACAGAAACAGTAATTGAAAACTCAGATATTTTCTGACAGCTGACTTCACTGACTCAGCACATTGCGATACTGGTTCTTGGGAGGATTTCTTATTTAAAGTGTTTGCGACAGGCCCCTATCTTTAGGAATACAAACAATATAATTAATGTGCTCTTGATATATCGAAGAAAGGAAGAACATACAAAAAGGCTGTCATTCGTAATCAAGCAACGCTAGTTTTAAATAGCTAGGAAGAATTGATAGTGTTTTCAGATGACAGTCAAGTTATAAGATGCTGTATCAACTGACACAAGCATATACATCGAAGTCCTCAATATGGTTTCCATATTGAAATCAAGAAGTACAAATTTACGTATTGGTGTTCACTTTGTATTTTAAGCTTCAAACTATTTTGAATGCTAGATCTGGTAGACATTACCCAATTAAATCAGCACGGATGTTCAAACTACATATTTATTTGAAACTGAAAACTAAAACAAAACAAAAATAATCATATCAATGGCTTTAAAGTGGTAAAAATATCATTGAAAGGACACTAAAACAACTACTATAGGTTTCTATTGTAACTTAGAACAATTGTTACTTAAAATGTAGAACAATGTGTTTGTTAAATCCATAGTCATGTTTATAAAAAAAAATAAAGAAATGGAGATTTAAAAAAAGATACTTACAGATATGTTCCTGGGGGAAAAGTACCTATCGTACATGGTGTCTTGTTTCTCTTTGAGTTCGTTAAGGAATTCTCTCATAGAAAAGTGTTCATCTTCGAGGCTTGGTAAGTATTCATCACATACTATCTCCACCGTATTGATCAAGACTCTCTGATCTATTCCAGGGGAAAACGCCTTTCTGATGGAATTTCTGTCATCGATGAGAATGACCCCATCGTGCACATCTGCCGTTTCTCGGTTTGTTGTTCCTCTTTGATTTTCCCATTCATCCAAAGACCGAAGTTCTGAAATATGATAGTGACGTGTTTTATCAAAAAACAACAGCTCTCAGAATCAGGCGTAAATAAAGCAAAAATATTACTAGAACATTCATATGATTCACATCATATAATTTTACAAGCTTTTAATGTATACTATAAATGTATTGATAGAAATGCTATTTTAGAAATATATTTCACGTTTGAATGCTTCTTAGTCCACATTACAATATGTAATAAATAAGACGTCAATAAAGTAAAAAAAAACACTAAACAATTCATATCGTTTTTACAGTAAACATCAGAACCATTTCAAGCTTAAAATGTATACGTTAAAGTTGATTGATAGAAATACATTTAGATATATGTGTCACTTTTGAACGCCTCTCAGTCTACAGTACAATATAAAATACATTTTCAAGATACCCCGTCTTAGTATTCTTCCATTTCTTTGGACGTGTAAATTACTATCATTTACATGGATATCGAATAGGACATTGGGCTGCGATGACCCGATAGGTTGTTAACACGGCTATCTGGTTGTACATTGTCGGGTTGTGATTGTCCTTATAAAAGTTTTATAAGACAGTAAACGCATAAGCAAAAATTGAGCTTTTCTTTTTCGATTTCATCTCTTTATCACCATCAATTGTTCGATTTCAAGATTCATATACATAGTTTATATATCAATCAATGATTGCGACATCCCGAAAGTTTGTTTAAAGGACTTTAGATATAAATGTTACGCGGAGATTTACTTGTATTTACCCTTTGTAGTTAATATCGTTCGAAAAATACATTGTCCACTTGGCCACCCCGTCGTATGGCAGAACGTTTCAGTCAACAAGCAACAATAAAGAATTGTCCGAATGTTTACCCGAGGTAAAACATTCGTTGATTTATTTGTCCCCAAAAGAAACGTTACATTATTGTATTGATTGTATTTCAGTAATGTATTGAAAATGCTGAAAATTCACACTGCCGATATCAATATGTGTTGTAACAAATAATTGACTTCAGTTTCATTTAAATGTGTCTATGAATGACGTCAGTAGTGTTTATCCAGCGAACGTAGATAAACATGTTATCAGATAATATCACGTGGAGAAAAAAACTGGTGATGACAACAGCTTGACAACAACATCGCATTGAAACAATGAGTTGTTCCATACACCCATTAGGATCCTCTGCCACTCTACTGTAAATCCGTCCCCAACTGGTCCAACGTTTGAAGCAGCTGATGTCCATTGCTCATTCTAATGTCTAACTGATCCCAGAAGTGATCATAGGGATTGAGATCTTGGGAAAGCGATGACCAATAATGCACATTGATATTCTGTGGACGGTCAAAGACCATGATGACGCGTGCAACATGAGCGTTGGCGTTATTATGCTGAAACATATTGCAATTGGTCTAAATGAATGAACAAACATGTAGTACTAATATCTGATTCATCCGTGAATAGAACGTCTTGCCACTGTTGTAGAGCCCACCGTAAACGTTGTCGTGCCCACGCTGATTCACTTTTGTATATGACGTAAGGTCTATCGAGGTACATATTACGGTTGGCGGTTATGTAGCTTTTCCTCGGTACCGAAGGACTACAGTCGGTGGACAGTGAGTGGGGATATTGGAAACAATGTTTGCCGCTTTCACTGTCCGATTACGCAGATGACGTAACAAATATATCTGTATCTAAACATTTTCTTCAGGTTGGTTAGTATGGATTATGAAAAGTTCTGTCATGAATCCGTTTCATTACTGATTGGGCTTGTACACCAAAGTTTTTCCTTGTACTGACAAACACAGTAACCCTATCGAAAGACAAGAGATCCAGCCTGTATTGCTCACATGGATTTTTATGCTCAGCAATGGTATAAATGGCGAAGGGATGGGATCTCAACCATTTCAAAGGCATCTCAATGTTATGGGTCAGGAATTAAGGGTAGGGTAGGGGCATTTCAAAGTTTTAGCTCAGGAATGAAGACCCTAGGGATGGGGCCAGACATCAGGGTTAACTCTTATATCATTATTGTGATTACTTCTGGATGCTTAGCAATTGTAAACATGGTTATAGGGTTGGGATCTCGATAATGTCAAAGTTGAAACTTCTTATTGGTCCTGTCCTGCAGACCTGGGGTCAGCCCTTCAAGTGGTAAAATATTGAATTATCACCTTCTAAGGATGCTTCCAACCTTATATAAATAATATCCTTAATAATATACATAAACTGATATAGCGCCCTGTCTAGCTAGAATAAGGCACTATATCGCGCTATACAGCACATAGATATACAATTAATACAATTAACATATACATTAATCAATTCAATTTTGAGGATCAGGCGCGTACTTCTAGTCCTATGTCATCTGGCTAATAACTACCTTTGTGTGTATGCCTGCGTGTGTGCTGGATACGTATTTTGTTCTGTTTGTAGTGGGACAGTGCTTCCAACAGTATCATTTATATTGCCACCTAACTCGAACGCGTCAGCACATATACTGCAACATCCTCCCAAGACAACTTTATACTCCACCTTGGTTGTTGGAGTTGTGTCGGCAGGAAAAAAACATTTTCTCTGAAAAATCCATGCGTACGACGACTTCCTGGAACGAACCCCGGCCACCTGCGTGGAAGGCCGGAGTGTTAACCATTCGACCGATACTTGTCTTTGATTCAGAAAAAAAGTTGCCTAAAGCAATATGGCCAAATTACCTCCTTTTTGCCTTGCCCCTCAGCTTTCTGAGGGTCAGGCCCTTAATTGGCACATTTTGTTAATCTCCAACATCGAAAATTGCTTCCAAATAAATATGATTGATATCCTTCTCTTATTTTCAGAGAAAAAGTCGCTTAAAGAAAGCTGCCCAAATTAACTATTTCAGACCCTTTTTGAATACCTGCCATCTTAGAATGCTTCCAACCAAATATGGTTGAAGTCCATTTCTTAGTTTCAGAGAGGAAGTCGCTAGAAGCACCCAGCCTGTTAGCTTCCTGGGGGGCAGGCCCTTCATTTGTACAATTTTGAATACTCACTATCTAATATTGCTTCCAGCCAAATATGGTTGATATCCTTCTCTTAGTTTCAGAGAAAGACTGTCAAAGCAATATTGCCAAATTACCCCTTTTTGACCCGCCCCTCAGTTTCCATGGGAGCCTGGTTATTTATTTTTATGATTTTGAATCCTCGCCATCTCAGGAAACTTATAACCAAATGTGGTTAATATCCTTGTCTTAGTTTCAGAAAAGAAGTCGCTTAAAGCAATATGGCCAAATTACCCATTTTAGACACCGCCCCTCAGCCCTCTGGGGTGTCAGGCTCTTCATTTGTACAATTTTCAATACCCACCATCTAAGGATGCTTCCAAACAAATTTGGTTAAATTCCAGTTAGTAGTTTTAAAGAAGTCGTTTGAAGAAATTGTTGACGGACGGACGACGGATGACACACGGACGGACTGACGACGGACGCCACGCCTTTGAACCAGGTGAGCTGAAACGAGTCCTTTACACATTTTGTTTACACAGTACATGTGCAAAACCGTTTGTACGCTAATCTATTGCACTACTACGCGTCAATGACGTTTACATAACTAACACCAAGCCAATACCAGGAGACAATATTACGAAGCAATAATGTCTATTTTATTTCAGATGTTATTAATATGCCATATTTGTTATAGTCAATATTTTTTGGGCCAGTATATAAAGAAATATTTTCTCATGAGTAGTAGCAGTTATACTATAATATACGTTTTTCATTTCATAATATTTTTCTTATGCAAGCGGTATTGACCAAAAAGCATTGTCTATATAAGTCCTATCCTTTTTGAACAGTACGTACACATCAGGTTTCCTCCTGATTTTACTCCTGTGATGTAGCTAAGTACGCATGAATGATTTATATTTTGTAAGAACTTTTTTCCTTTTTTGTTTGTTTATTGTATTTCATTGTAATGATAAAGATAATAAATAACATAGTAAACATATATATGTACTTTCCTCTTGGCGCAGTCATAATATGTCCAAAATTTGGTGTGACCCTACCAGTAAACTAAATATCTATTGGCTGGAATTGGCTTTTGAACTTCATTAGTGGATGGCCAATATGTGACATAGGGACTGTGTATGGCCTGCATCATTTGGGGAGATAAAGCCAAATCTACCAAATATATATGTTTTAAATATTTCTTTATCATATAACAAAAGTGTAGCTACATGTATAGCTAAGTTAACCAAATCGGTTGTGTCAACATGTGTTTTACCAGTGTTTAGATAATAGGGAAACTATCTTCACACATCACTATTAAACAATCTGCTTTGGGGGAGTTACTTCCCCATTGTGCATCTTTAATGTAAATGTCTTTAATACTTGTAAACAATGTGCTCACCACTGATGTAGCTGTAAGGAGAAGACTTATATAGGCAATGCCTGATGTGCAATCCTGTTGACTTCTTTTGTCAATAAAATATGTTAAGATTAAAAATATTTGACGTGACGTTATTTGGACATTGTCTAGCACTGAATGATTTTTTAAACGTGGGGTGACCAAATTTCACAAAGCGTTAGATACTGACTGGTGGCCAACACTAAACAAAATAAGCATGATGCTTTAAAAGACACTATAGACGTTTTGTTAAACAAAACGAAATCTTGTAAGTTGCAGTTTGAATTATTTTGTGATAAAGCCAAAATAGTTTGATAGGGTATTATCTAGTGGTATAGGCACATACAGTTTGTACAATATTTTTACCTTCTATCGAAAAACTAAGAACCCGGTGACGAACGTTGGCCTCAGTGTCATGCCAATATTCAGGTTTCCAATTTCTGCCGTCAGAACTGATTTCGTAGATGTATTGCAACCTGTGTGATTCGTTCAGCCATTGTCTTGGTATCTGTGCTTCACCGACATATCTTTGATACTTGGAATCGTTGCTGGAAAATGAACGTAACTAGACTATGATTTACATCACAATATTTCAATAGCAGTAAAGTCAATGTACACAACAGAAGTGTACGTGTTTACAATACATTCTTCTTTTGGTAAAACAACCTAACGTCATTAGTTATCGGGAGAGTCATTTTAAAAGTGCACTGTTCACAGATAATTTATACATTTGTACTTGTAATAATTACAACATACCAAATTTCCCTTTGTGACAATGTCTCAAGTTTGAGCTTCTTTCCATTGAGATTAGCAAGGCATTGTAATCTCAGCTTTGTCTTTTTTGTTCCTTCTCTTGTGCTTGGATGCAGGAGGACATCGAATTTGATATGCAAACATTTACTATGTATATCTCTGCAATATGATCAAACAGATGTTTCAACATTATAAATGATTACATATTTGTATTTTATTGCGATATGTGGGGATGTCGAAAGCTTGGTTGTTTTTTTTTATATTCGTAGCATTTATTATATTTTTGCCTTTATATAAAATATGTGAAATATCGGATTCTATCATCTTGATAAAACTGATATCTTTCACACAGTGACAAATATCAAAAGAGATATTTTCACAATGTGAAAATATGACTTTTTGGTATTGACCATTCATAACGGTATCTTCTATTCGCTGCATTCAAAGGCAACGATGTTTTGTTCAGGTTTAAAGGAAGCGATGGCAGAATAAATAGTTGCTATGGTAAATGTTTCGTACACACACTCAAGTATTTACATAAATATACAATTAATAACATTTTTATAAACAATCATACCAGAAAATAGCAGAAAACGTCGAAATTGCTTTGAATATCCTATTCAAAATGGCGCACAGCCTTGTTGTCGAGCGTGACGTCATCAGAATATGGTGCTAATTATTACGCTTCTGATTCCCGCTCTTTTTTAATGCATTACACTTTTTAAGGTTTTATGCTTAAAAATGTAAGATAGAAAATGTAATGGTGTCTTAAGTAATAACAAATATATTTCACTCGTGTGTTTTGATATTTTTCTCTATGTTAGCCACACTCGTCAAATGTATTTGTTATTACTAAAGAATCCATGATATATCCTCTATGTTTTACATGATGCCAGGATTGAGAATGCTTTTAAATGAATATGAGAGAAACAAAACATAGAATATAGAAGTTAACATGATGGATTTTTTCTTTTCTTTATCAAATTTAAATTTAATATTAATCTTATGTTGTGGTCAAAAATTTAAGAGCATTGCTTAATGTAATTCATGATAGAAGATAAGCAGTTTTTTTACACGCTGAGTTTGTTTTGAAAACACTGATATGGATTTATTTTGTCGTGCAAAAGTGCGAATTACTGCTGTTAATATCTAAAATGAGCTGAAATCAACTCACTACGTAAGAGTGATTCGAGTCAGTGACGCCGGCTATCAAAATCGTGTTTATCACGTCTCGGTTGAATTTTAATTTGCATGATGCAGTGCTGATTTTTACAAACACAGCATGAATAATTGATAGGATGCTACAGGGTATCACCAACAAAAAAAAATCTAGGCTTTCGGTTGAGAAAACCATCAAATTGTTACATCTCTTACTGAACACTTCTTTTATTTGTTTTAATTTACTAACAAAGCTTTTGAGGATTCCAGTATTGTGCACCGTCCAAAACAATTGAAAATGTATGTAAGCATTATCTTGTAAGTCGCCATGAAAGATGAAGTGGACAAACTACTTACCTAAACCACAATTTTTATGTTTAGTTTGGTTTGGTTTGTTTGTGTTTTACGTCCTATTAATAGCTATGGTCAATTAAGGACGTGCCAAGTTTTGTTGGTGGAGGAAAGCCGGAGTTCCCGGATAAAAAACACCGATCTATGGCCAGTATCTGGCGACTGCTCCTCGTAGGCCTCGAACCCGCGAGGAGGGCTAGTGGTAGCAGAATGTCAGACGCCTTAACCACTTGGACACCGAGGACCCTCCACAAGTTTTACGGCAAGGCTTCTATATGACTTACGTCTGAAGAAGAGACCGATGATTAAAATGGTGTCAAAGACAACTGCATCGTTAGAATTCCTGGCGATTTCTTCTAATTGCTGATTTACATTACAATACTAACACAGACCAATACCGTAACTTCACACCATCAATTTCGCCAAACGCTGGTGATAATCGCACATTCATGTATAAATACATAAACATCATAACTAAACAAAGAAAGAAAAATGAAAAACGACAGATCAAACGGGCACCGACTGCATATAAATACACCAAATGGTCAATACAAAAAAGGATAGAAGATAGAAGACAAATCAGTGGGAACGGTCTCAAGAATCAGACACGTACGATAACAAAACGAAAACGAGTACTAAGCCATGCATAAAAGGGTTGTCTGAACCATTTACAATAGTAATGTCGAACGCCACGTCAGCGTACCTACGAGACAAGCCAATAATATTGAACAGTACTTAGTTCATCATAAAGACAAACTGACAAAATGACAAAAGAGAATACATGCAACCCATGCTATCGTATGTATACTGGTAAAGTATTCCGATAACTCGGCAAAAGTCTCAAGGAGCATCAATGTAGTTGGTCAGCCGTTGCCGACTTCAAACTTTAAATACAAGAAAGGGAGGTAACCAAACATAAAATTATGAAAAAGTAAACAAAATCATGTAGATAGGGAGACAGATGAATTAATGGCAAGAGACGAAGGGGACAGCAGCCGAGTCATATGTATGGCCCAAGTAAACATCCTATAATAGGCGGCATAGGTAAGTGCATTGACTACTGACTGCTTGTAATATTAGAGAGCAATTGAAAGGACATGTCTCAATACGATTTTGACAGCTGACTCCACCGACTTGACACACAATTTCGTATATTTATGCACAACAAAACTCCAGTAATTTTCACTTTTTCTTCTCAAAAATAATTTTAAAATATTCATTTTGACAAGCTGTCGAAACACACTCCGATTATCTGTTTCATGATTGCTTACTAATAAGGTTACCGCGATATATCGTGATAGGTTGTCAGCATTACTTACGTATCATCATAATATGGTGATTTCATGGTGTCTTTGTTGTCCTCCATCTGTTAATACAATTTACGTATTTCGTTTTTTACTTCAGATCTATTTAAACTAATAGACGGTGGGTTAATATAGTTATCATTTAAATTCTGTACATATATAGTGGCATGAAGTTAACACTGAAGTTCTACCACAGTTGATTTTTCATTTAAATACCCGTGTTGACAATGAACGGACATTAATTCAAGTTAATGACATTTACGTATACAAATTTAAATTATTTCAAGGAATAATACAGTTGTTAGGCATATTTGTATAGTTTAAACTGACTATTTCTATAACCAATGTAAATAAATATAATGTGAAAAAGGAGAATCAGGTGATTTCTCAAACAGTTAGTTATTGGATCGCACAACGTTACACAATGTGCCTGCGATGTAACAAAGTTTACATGCTCATATAACAGACATAAGTGGATATTTCAAGCTACCTAAAACGTCACGTTCTTACATGACACACATCAGGCATAAACTGCATACGTACACGCATACAGTGTCAACAAAACAGTCCTCACTGTTACTGTACAAAGGTTTCGTGTATCTCATTAGCTGTGGAAGGAAATGCGATAAATTTCTACACAGTGATTGAATTACCGATCAACTCTAATCGGTGATGACCTTCATTTAATTTATTCAACGTACTCGTACAATGTACTGTACAAGACACTACGAACAAATTATCGACAGTTCTACCAGCATTGTACGTAATAATGCTAAACATGAATTGCAGAATTGGTTAAAGTTCATATTTACTGATGGGAAATTAAACACGTACGAGTTGCAGTACATTCATCCTTTCAAAATTTTCACTTTCTGTAATATTGATCAACCAATTTTACCAAATCGCATTTTTCGCGCAACGGGGAGATCAATTGTTAACACGCACAATAGTGCACATTGTGAGAGCACGGTAGCTTTGGTATATGAGCGATCACACAACGGTATTTAATCGAAACATGGAAGGAGTATGTATATAGTTTCTGTAATTGTCCAAACATAATTGTTATATTTGAGACATTACACATCAGCGTGTAATTTAAATGAACATTAGTATGTTTATCAAAATATAAGAACTTTACATACCCGCAACTGTGGATTCTCCGTTTTCTCGTTCGGTTCTTTGTCGGGCGAAGGGAGAAAACAGTTTGACGGGTAAATTAAAAATAAGAAATATGTCATAACAGAAATAGTTCGAAAAAACCAAGAAAACATATGAATTAATTGTTAAGAGATACACCAATAAGTAACCTAGGTTACAGATGTAGTGGTATGATATATACACAGGCAATATTTGTTTGTATGTCAACCTGACCTGAAAAAGTTCTAACCTGAAATTGACCTGAATTATGGATCAAGAGAAGCTACCTGTGTAGTTTGCATCAATACTGATACGACAACATTTATTTGATAGTTTGCGTGCAGTTGCGAGTGAAAAGCACGTTTCATTTTTTCAGAAATAAAAGTGACTAGCCCAACATTTTATATGTTATTTAAATTAAACATCAATCAATGGTTATGATAATCCACCTATTCTTGAAAAAGATACCTTCCTCCTCCTCAGATGATATCGCAGATTGTGATGTGTCCTGTTAAATATAAAAACTGTACATTATGTGTTTACCAAGCAGGATATACGATACACACAAGTCATTTCAAAAGTAAACTTGGTTATAGATACACTATTCGAAAAATGGAATACTCTGCCTGTCATTCCATCTTTAGTGTTGCTATGAATTTACCAATGATATAGAAATACATTTCGTTGTCATTGAATTTGATTATTGTTTCATAACTCTTTGTTGATAAATACTACAAACAGGAGAACGGTGATGTTTTAACTGATGCAAAATAGATAGGATAAAAGTATTGATCCGACTTAGCTTCGGTAAGAAGATGTTCACAAAATCAGACGAAACGATTAACATTAAGCAATGAAATATTTTGGTCGACAGTAATGAATTGATAATTAGTAAATGTTATTATGGGTATGATTGACACCGTAATTGGTGTAACCTATGGTGAAATCAATATTACCTGATTATCTCCCTTTGTTTGTCTCGAGGGTTTTGTTTTGCTTTTCTGGTTTGCCTGAGATTGGGAGACGGTGTCTTCTGGCTGACTGGGGCCTTGTTTAGGTTGTGCTGATGTAGAGTTCGAGTTTTCTGGTTTAGGGTATGGAGGACCAGGTGTCGGGGAACCATTTCCCTCTGATTGAGAATGCTCTGGTGGTGGACGAGTTGGTTCAGGACGTTCTGAGATGAGAGCATTCACTATCAGTACACTTTCAGAAAGTGTTTCTTTGTACTCCCAAATGTGTTACATTGTTCATAATGTAGGATATAAAGAGCCCCCTCCTCTTATCAACCACTCATTCAAATGACATTGTTATAAGCGAGTACTCGTATATAAATATACTAACACAGCAAAAAGTGATGATATTTGTGCATCGAGTACGGCGATCACTGTGATGTTGTGAATTGTAATACGGCCTTGAACATACTGTGATTTTAAAAACTCAACACCTAAGCTCTGATACTCGAGGCAGGCCGATTACACATAAACAAGACCACCAATAGCGGAGAAGTTTACGGCTGCAAGAATTGGTGGAATGAATATAACATGGTAAGGAGTACGCATGTCTGAGTAAAGTAGTAACATGCGCATATGTTATTTTGATTAATTATGAAACGATTACCAAAAGTTATACAACAATTCATAATATTCGGCAAACATTTCGGGGACCAGTTGCTCTCAAAAAAGTGTTATTCCAACGGGAGTTGCAAACTTTTGTAAAGTATATCCGACGCAGAATCCCAATCTTATGACATATAAGTCTTTATATGAAATATCCGTAACACAACCATAATTTCATAACATTCGGCTTACCAGTATGAAACTTCTTGCAAAAAAAAATTCAAAAAAGTGTTTACAGATCGACGTATGGATAGATGATAGCAAATTAACCTCCTCTTCGCGGGCATTAAAAGATGAAACCAATAGATCCTGGTCCCATATATATTTAGATCCTAAATTCTCATTTTGTATAAACATTATTTTGTATAAACAGCAGTCATTACCAGCGAAATGGTCGAACACCACGTAGCCTGCTCTGTACGAGCCGAATGACACAAGGAAATCCAAAAACGATCTTATACGGTTCTGCCAAGATATGACCATTCAGGTTTGCCTGTTCTGGTTCGTCCGTCCGTCCATCTTTCTGTCTTTCTGTCCGTTACCGTTGTTAAGGCTTTTATTAAAGTTTTGTAATGGCTCACTATTAATTTAATAAGGATGTTGAATGACGATTATTTTGCATATAGGCTCTTTCAGGGTCTTTTAATGGTGTGAATTGATAATGGAAAAGGTTTTTTTTCTTTCTGTCTCTTCAGTTCTTGGCATGTTCAGAACTTAATTTTTGAGGCCAAAATCTGCAGGTAAAGGTTTCGGTTAAGATTGTGCTATAGCTTACCGTTTAATAAATAATGATATTAGGATGGTGATTCTATACACAGAGGTTGTATATGTATCTAGATGCTAACAACGTTTAGTGAAAGTGAAAAGGTATTTCTATGCAGTGAATATTTGTTAGAATGCTTGATACGAATTGTGCGAACCATAAACAACAGCATCATTGTTAAGTCTTTAAATTTACTGACCATTTAGTGTTGTTTCCTGAATTGGAAAAGTAATCCCATTGACTATGTACATAGGGAAAATCTTTAAAAATCAGTATCACTATCAATATCTTGTCTGCTTGTCTGTATGGGTACCGATAGAAGACTTGTATTTATTAATACCTCTAGAATACTTGTTTATATTACACACATAACAATCAGCAACAATTTACCTCCTTCCTCTTCAGATGATATCGGAGGTGGTGATGTGTCCTATAAAATATAAAACAGTATATAATGCATTTACCAAAGTATGCGTTGTTCTAGGAATATTGTCATGGTACAAAACCTAATTCTGTAAACCTCCTAGTCATAAAATGATGCGATCAAAAGGTTTGTGCTATTTTAACTAGTTGCAAAATATGCGTGATAAAAGTTCCAACCTTACTTTGGTAAGATAACATTCATGAAATCCTTCGAATTGATTAATGGAATGTGACGCAATAATTTTAAAACGATAGTTGGTAAATGCTTTATTAGGGTGACGTTGGCACTGAGAGTGATGTATCGTATTGGTATAATCGATATCACCTTATTATCTCCATTGCTCCGTCGCAAGGTTTCAGTGGTGTTGTGTTGGAATGGCTGAGATTGTTTTGGTTGTTGTTTAGGAGGCGGGAAGACCTCGTCCTCTGGCTGATGGTGGCCTGGCTTAGGCTGTTCTGGTGGGAAGTTCAAATCTTCTTGCTTATAGTGCCACAGTGGCAAAACAGGTGATAGGGGATGCCCTGATTGTGGTCGAGTTGGTTCAGGGCGTTCTGAGAAAAACATAACACTTTTAGTACTTTTTAATTTTAGTAAATTTCATCTTAATGCAAAGCTTTGTTTTATTCTTTCTTCAGACTCTTGCATGGTTTAATAATGTTTGCAGTATTTCGATTGAAATACAGCAGAAATAATTTCAAATTATTTTTACTTTTTTCTATTTCAAATTGATTTAGGTTCGAAGAGATTTTGACCTTCTTGTAAATGATGAAAAGGGCTTGTTTCTGGGAATTTTTCACGTAAGCTGTGTCCCTTATGCAGTTGATCTGGACGCAGCAGCGATGGGTCCCCTGGGGGCGGATGAAAGGTTTGAGAATCATCTACCAAGAAAAGAAACCAAATACGTTTTTAAAAATCAATAATATACAACGGATTTTATCAAGTAAGGTATTGTATACAAAACTTTCTTTCATATTGTAACGAGCGAGCGTCCGGTGCCCACGTCTCACCGGCTGCCGTCAAGAGTATTGGGTTCTTGTTTCACCAATATAGTGTGCTTCCTGGATTCTGGATTATCACTGTCGAATATGTCGAACAATGGTCAGAAATAGTCTAGTAGTCTAATTTAACTATGCAATCACTAAATATCAACCAAGAGCCCAATTGACAGGTAAAAATATAATTTATTAAAGGAACAAGTTAAATAACATGGTATCTTTACAGAGTACAGATCAGTATAACATTACAAATACAAACAAGGCATCAACACAGGTCCTTGGACCAGACAATAACAAAATAAATTGACAAATTGTACACAACTATTCCCAAATTATACACTAACTGACTGTATTTCTAGTAAAAATGTCCAACTAATCACCAGAGCCTAATATTCGAAGTCACCTAAATTATAATTTGATATGCAGCCCAGCAAAATACAAGAAAGCTTCAACTATTCCGATAATTTGTAATAAAATGACGATTCAGCTATAAATAGCCAACTGCCGGTATTTCACCTTGTATCCGATGACAGTGTCTATAAATAGAACTATAAATGACGTAGGCAGTAAGCCTAAACCCAAAGTATGAGGAAATCCCATGTCTGACCTGTTCAGAGGCGACCGTCTGTCAGCGAAGACAGTGATGAACTAAGGAAAAAGGTTCGATCCGACCTGTACTTATAACCTTCAAGATATTACCACTCAAGGAAGTAATCTGGAGTATAGTATATCGCACAATTAGCTGCAAAATGGCGGTCTTGAGAGGTGTTTGAGATGCTAACGAGAGGTCGAATTAACACGAAATTAGCAGGGAAGTTATAAATCATTTCTACAATGTTCTGTAGTTGTACTTTGAATAATCAACATTTAAAACTTATGTACAAACACATTTTGGACTATTAAATGGACATGTTATTTATGTAGTGGAAATCGGTCACACAGGCCTCAGCGATATATAAACAAATCGGCTGAAGGGCCGAGACAGCGTTGGTTGGATCACCACATTTATACGGGGCTGACACGTTACAATATTCTATGGATTCGATATTTTTCTGGTGGTTTGATACACTTCAAATATGAAAGGTGAGACACACACTTGTGATTGTACCTAAGTTCCTGTAGATACAGTATGAATTACACTCCACCATCTGTTGTATGATTGCCGTGTTGAGTGGTGATACATGTAAGCGGTAGCTGGGTCATGCGATTTCTAAGCGTTAATGAAGTACATTTGCAAACACATGGATGTTTTTCGATATATAACATATCAGCAGATACATGTAACTCGCAATATAAGTCCGTGTAGATATACATTCAGATAAAAAGGTTGAAAATCAATGGAAAAATGAATGTGGATAGGAAGCCTGGTTTAGTTCATATATGTCGAATAGCAGAGGAGTAGCAATTCTATTTAAAAACTCTTTTGGATTCAAATTTCTTAATTTTTTATATTCAATTGATTTCATGTCATAAAACATTAACTCTAGTGGCAGTATATGGACCAAATAATACAGATGTTATATTTTCTCATCAACTTTCGCATCATCTGGATTTTATTATGTGAGAATACATCTATCATCATAGGTGGTGGCTGGAACGCACCACAAAAATATGTTAAGGATACGAAAAATTACATAAATAGAAACAATGTTGTAAATCAGGGTAAACTTATAGATATTATAGATACTTTTGATCTCATAGATATATGGCGAGAGTAAAAACAAGATGTAAACTTCTTTACTTGGCATGGACTAAACAGGAGGTAGCCAAGATTAGACTACTTTCTAGTGTCTTCAGATTTGGTTTCTACTGTTGTTAAGAGTGACATTGAGATAAGCTACAGGTCAGATCAATTTCAAATATCAATAGAATTTGAATTCATAAAACAAAATAGGGGTAAAGGAACATGGAAATTTAACAACAGTTTATTAAGAGATCCAGATTATGTAAATTGAGTAAAAGAATGTATAAATGTAGTACCAATCAATATGCAGAGAATCCTGAAGTAGAAAATAGGGACTTATTAACATTTACGATTAGCAATAACTTGTTATGGGAAACTATCAAATTCACAATAAGGGGAAAGACTATTGCTTACTCAGCCAAAAACAAAAGGGAAGGGGGTACAGAAGAAAAACAGTTAAGAGTCCAAAATAGAAACACTACAAAAGCCGAAAGCAAATCAAAATTAAGGGTATTATTTTAAGAGCGAAATCAAGGTGGGAAGTAGAAGGGGGGAAAAGTACTAAATATTTTTGCAATCTAGAGAAAAGACATTTGTGTAAGTGATATACAACTTATTGCCTCAAATTATATCAAATTAAAAGAATACAGCGTTAAGTATGCTACAGAAGTGAGGTTATCACAGTCACTACGTTTTGCAGTTTACAAACCGGATAATTGCAAACAGAAGTAGTATTTGGAACTGGAAAATATTTGATGAAAATGGAGTGACAAAGTGTCAAACAATAGTCAGAAAATAGACAATATAGCTCACAGATAATGTGGTACTCCTCAGAACTACTTGGGTGTTAAGTCAAATGAAAAACGGACTAGCGACACAAGGGAAACGTAACCTAACACCATGTTATCACATAGATGGAGGGAACGCAAAGTCTTACCCAAGTCAGTTAAGTAAAAATGTAACATTATTGTAGGTCAAAATGACGTTTTACCCCGTAATTGTAAAAGTATCCAGTATTATGTTTTCGGACCGTGCGGAACTTGTAGTAAAAGCGAAATGATGTACAAATACAACGTGAATGAAGCGGAAAGAATAGTCCATAATGATTTGCATGTCATAAGATGACGGGCTACACCAGGAGTAAATTCATTTAAAGTTTTATGACTTTAGGGCTTTCAGTACCAGCGAGCGAATTTGAACTAAACGTAAAGGCTTACCATATAAATGTTATAAACTCAAAGTCTGTCAAAAGTCAGCGGAGCGAAAGATATACGTTATAGTAACATGTATGTCACATGACGGTGCAGTACTGCTCCGGACGTTTATATATATAAATTTGATGACTATAGTATCACAAATATCAGACAAATGAAGACATACTGAAAATTAAACCAAAAAAAGTAATTAAGGCAAAGTATAATCAAAGTTAGTCAAGTGGCAGTTATAGCCCACACTGACCTGCCTGTCACATCATAGTGAAGTACTCCTTAAGATGTATATGGACACGGAGTTTGATGACTGTCAGACTTCCAGTATCAAAGGATAAGAGCTGAACGGAAGTTTAACACAAATGTCGGGCGGGAAAGGCAAACACGCTATAGTTTGATAATGTCGAGTATACGACTTAGGTGAAAGGTTAACAGGCCTTGTAATTTAGTTCAATGTACTGCCAACAAAACAACATATTCGTTTTCAGTAGTAGTTGAAAAAGAATGTATTACCTGCAGGTAACCGGTCAAAAAAATCGTCGTCTTCTTCATCAGTGGATGAAATACCTTAAATACAAAATAATAAATGTGTTAATTGCCGTACCAACAATCCAAACCATCAACAGCAAACAGCATAATAATTATCACGCTGCGAACTACAACCCTTAAAGTCTACAAATCAAGGTTTAAAATAAAAACATTCAAAACCTGTAAATAGTTAAACGGATAGTCGGGTGGCGCAGTGGATAGCACACTTGCCTTTCACTAAGGCGACCGGGGTTCGATTCCCCAATCGTACGTGAAAAGGTATGAGGTCACCTGTCTGATCACGTGGGTTTCTCCAGGTAATCTGGTTTCCTCCCACATTAAGACACCCACGCGCTTACATCCGGGCCAAAAAGAGTGATTTATATAAGTTGAAATAATTTGTTTCATAAATGTTGAACTCTAAGTGCCAATTACAATTAATACACACATAACAGGTAACAGGATTAATGAGCAACACAAATTCTAACCATTAACATTGTTAGACTTGTGGTTTGTTTTCCATAATTCCGGTTCTCACTTTGACCACGTGAGATCATAAGGATTTAATCAAGATTAATATGACGTCTATCGTCCATAAAGCAGAAGGCGCTTACTCTCTCTAAAATCTGTATTTTAATGCAAACATCTTATTTCGAGTTATAACTTTCTACACCGGATTTTAAATGCATTTAGCATGTCAAAACCTACCAGTGTGTTGTTCTCCAACGTGTTATAATACGCCCATTTGGCGACATCGTTTCTTTACCATCTTGATTTATTTATTGTGAATGAAAAGGGGTAGTATTTCTGTAGTAGGTTTATGTGATAGCTGAAATATATTATCGATTATTGATTGATTGTAAAACATAAACATACTAAACGTTTGCATATAAATTGTCACTACCATTAATTCAACAAGCACGATGAGTCCAATGTTGATTTTAATCATTTCTGTAATTGTTGTAACTAGTACGAAAAAATATAATATTTTAAAGCAATGATTACTTTAATGTTATAACAAGAACACAAGAACTACAGTGAGTATCAAAATGTGCTGTTAAACTGTTCTACAGGTGGAACTTACCTTCTGCTTCAATGCTAATATCACCACTGTCACTCATGATGACCTGTTTAAAATAAAGCGTTAATCATATTAGCAATGATATATTTACAGTCTAATAACACCAGTTTATTAGTCAAGTATAACATGAAAACACAACATAACGCAAACACAACAACAAAACTCCAATTCGATATGGAAAGAAATAAGCAGGTCCTAGGGATAGAAAGGCTCAGTGTGTAAATACAATAACAGGAACTGATGAGACATCAAAACAAAACCTCATTGTGTATATACAACAACAGTAACGGATCACGAGACAGCAAAACAAAAGATTCATTATGAAATACAAAACATGAACTGACAAGACATCAAAACAAAAGATTCATTATGTAAATACATGTACAACAACAGGAACTGATCAATCACATCAAAACAAAAGACTCATTGTGTGATATAAAAACAGGAACTGACAAGACATCAAAACAAAAGATTCATTATGTAAATACATGTTCAACAACAGGAACTGATCAATCACATCAAAACAAAAGACTGTGTAATATAAAAAAAGGAACCGATCACGAGACATCAAAAGAAAAGACTCAGTATGTAATATAACAACAGGAACTGATCACAAGAAATCAAAACAAATGACTCATTATGTAAATAAAAAAACAGGAACTGATCACGAGACATCAAAACAAAAGACTCATTATGTAAATACAAAAACAGGAACTGATAACGAGACATCAAAACAAAAGACTCATTACGAAAATACAAAAACAGGAAGTGATCACGAGACATCAAAACAAAAGACTCATTATGTAAATATGAAAACGGGAACTGACGAGACATCAACGCAAAAACTCATTATGTAAATACAAAAAACAGCAACTGATCACGAGACATCAAAACAAAAGACTCACTGTGTAAATACAAAAACGGGAACTGACGAGACATCAACGCAAAAACTCATTATGTAAATACAAAAACAGGAACTGATCACTAGACATCAAAACAAAAGACTCATTATGTAAATTCGACTACAGGAACTGCAAAAACAACCAAGCGAAATGCACATTATTATCATAAAAGACAGGAACTGGGGACACAACAAAGGTTCAATATATAAATACAACAGAAGCTGGGGTGATATTCAAACAAAATAGCATTTCGGTCAAGCGTATGTCAGACTAGTCAGCCAGATGTCCTGATCTCAATCCTGCGCGGCGACATAAACATATCTGTGGCAGATAAGTTTGTATATGTTGATTTCATAAAAATAAATAAAAAGGTTATCATTATCAATGTGAAAACTTTAAATACGATTATGCAAGAGAAAGTCATACAGGATAAGGGCATGGCCTTATTTTGGAGCAGGTTTATAGGTCCTCTTCAGTATGACGTAATGGTGTTGAAGTGGTTGTCAATGTGTATTAAGAAAAGGTGAGTGTAAAAATTATCGAAACGGAATATTATTCTGCATTTATTGATTCATTAATAACAAACATAACAAAGAAATATATTCAAAAAATATTTTCAAAGAGAAATCGTTTATCAGAAACAGACAAATGATTTAAAATATACACCCCAGTCTTTTATAAAGCTTAAACCTTTCATGTATACAGATGCTTGCTAAACGTGAAATATGCAGTTTTATGTTACAATCAATTTTGAATTCGCTCCCTCAAAGACGTATTCGTATAAGAAAATGCGTGATATTATATAACAATTAAACAGTTGTTATAATCACGTTTAAAATCCAATTAGCATTTTTAGAATAAAACACCACGCGAAAAGTCGCACCAGTAACTTTATGAATACAATAGCACGGATTTTGTTTTCTACAAATAATTTATGAATCTGTGCCACAAAATCGATATTTCCCGGAAGCAAACAATGGAATTCCAATATTGAAACATTGAACGAGTACCTTTACGTTGTTGTTACGCATTATGACCCATTGTCTACAGTCTGTAAGTATACAGACTAACTGGTCCCTTTGTGAAGCTATGATGAGTGAGCAAATTGTATTCTTTACTCGTACAACGCCACAACGCAATTGTGTATTTCAAATGTCACTCGACCTGGGACGTTTCACCTATCGATAGAGGCTGTATACACACTTTATCGAATAGATTACTGGTAGGGCGAGGACATAGTTCGTATTCAGATGTCAGGTGTCCTGTGTCACCCACAGTCGCGAATCTGTTAAATGAACTTTTACAGCTAACTAACCATCATCAGATTGGCAATCCTGCAATGCGGTCCCAAACTTAAGAAACGATATGCAGATGACATCCTAGAGACAGTGGAAAAGGGAAGCAATGTAGGGCATAACAGATCGCCTGAACAAAGTATACCGACGTATACCAAAGTATAACAAATTCCATTAAATTTTCCCACGAGGAGGGAAAGGTTGGATCCATACCATTCATTGACAAGCTGTTCGTCCGAAAAGAAAACGGCACCATCAAACTATTAGTATACTGTAAACCGACTCACGCCGATCAGTATTTGGCTTTCCATTCCCACCATCCACTACACCAAAAGTTTGGAGTCGTACGTACATTCCTTGACAGATGCAACAACGTCATCACAAAGACGGACGATAGACACAGGTACAAACAGCACATAAAAGACGCACTCAACTGTTATGACTACCCCGACTGGTCAATTAATAAACAGAAAAAGCTGTAAAAGAAAGACAGAAAATAAAAAAAAAACACATTAAGATGAAATGAGATGAGAGCCGGTTCACAATACCCTACGTGTAGCAACACATTTTTTTACCAGAACAACACGCAAAACATCCGCTAACCAGTACTTAAATGGAACAACAAACAAAAACGAGACAAAACGTAGAAGCTATCAAAATCAGCAAAACTCAAAACATGAAGAAAGACGAGGGGGGCACCAGCTGAGTCATGTGTAAGATCCGATACTGACCTAACGAGAGAGGGGACTATATCTACCCCCTACCAGTAACATATTCAATACAGTATGTACACACTGTCTAGCGATCGGCGAAACGTCCAAGGTCGACTGATATATGCGATTTACAATTCCATCGTATCGTTGTACAGGTAAGCAATAAAAATCGCTCACTCAGTCAATGCTTGACAAAGAGACAAGTCGATTTTGAAACATTGCGACACGTTTATTACGTACAATATTGACGTCAATATTGAAGGACTGTTCACTGTTCACCACTGATAAAAATCTGTATTAAGCAAATTATATGTATTACCATATATTTCCTGGGGACCACCGACATGGGACAGGTCGCGCACAGCGGCCATGAGTATTGGTTTGTCGCTGACTGTTCTAGTTGCTTAATTAAACCATTATTAAATACCACTAATTCTGGCTAGCAATCGTATAATAAAATTTACTCCCATTTCCTTACAGGATAATAATGTAAAATTTGTTTAGCTTTTCTTTGCAAAGAAAACTTAATGACGACTACCTCAGATTTCTTATTGTGTAGTTCAATCAGTAAACCGACATAAAATATACCTTGTAACGCGTCAAATATATATACATGTTTGACTGAGATATAATAGTATGCCTTTAGTATGCACTGGCGTTTAGAATATAATAATTGTCCCAAAAGATAACGATCTTGACTGTCACTTAGTGTTGTATTGCCCCGCGCCCTCGCAGTTGTCTAATGACATAACCCCAGTCATATTTTATCTGTAATATCACGGGTGTTAACGTCGCAATACAGATAATAAACACGAGAAAAAAAAGCCTTATGCTTTCAAAAACTCACTCACGTAAAATCGACTTGTAAATTACTTTTTAAGAGAAACAATTAGGTATAATTGTCATCTTTGAACTAACTTTGGACAAAGGTGTTAATAAGGAAGAAACAAACTAACAAATTAAAAGAAACAAAGGATAAATAACAATAAATCAGATTATGGAAAACTTTTTCATTAATAAAAACAAAGAGAGCACATAGATATTAGCCGTCCCGGTTTGCACATGTCCTTTGACTTGTTAACCATCACCGATGTCAACCAGAATCTAATCGGGTGTACAGTCACTGTTACATTACAATAACGTAAACATAAACATAATCTAATCAGGTGTACATCTCATTGTTACATTACAATAGCGTAAACACAAACTTAATGTATTGATTAATTCGTGAAATAGCTTTTACACAAACATCTTACTAAAAAATTGGTCAAGTGTGACAAGTCATGTGAACATACTATGGTAAAAAAAAAGTCTTAACTAAATTTGATGGAGGGTCGATGAAAAATTTCATACAAAAGCGTTTTACTCCAAAAATGGTTAAGTGTGACCTTGCCTCTGACCTTTTATCCGTTTGACTTGATCGATGACCACCAAAATCCAATAAGGTGTAGAACTAAATGTTACAAATACTAACGTATATATGTGACTGTACATGTATGTGTTCTGCGCATATATCTTGACGGACGAACGCGACGACAAACGAGTAATCCCCCTCACTAGTCTGTTGGAGTAATGATAAGAACGATATTGTCTGGGATAACCAATCAAAATTGAGGAGTAACGTATGAATTTTCTCTGACAGAGATATTTCTTTGGTTTTGTTTATATTTGACGATAAAGGCAACATATTTATAGAACTATTTCAGATTAGAAAAGAATATGTCCAATTGAAATCAATCAACAGAGGCTTTAGAAATGCAGAAAAGGCTGAAATTGGGATGCTTTCGTAAGAATATCTTTACTTTGATTCGATTTTATTACATATTGTATTAATTAATTAGATTTACTCCGCGAAGTTTCACGTAGTGTTGTGCACGATTGTATGTTAAATCGCGATTTGTTTTAAGCACAAATATGTGTATGGCGCTCTATAATCTGTTCATGCTGCTAGGGCGTATCCATAAGTTTCTATTGGTATAATAAAATATGCAAATAGCATATGTTGTGTATACAGAGAGCTGAAAACTGTATAGAATTACCCTTACGCGCTTTAAAGTACATGTAAAGTATACATAAATAACATTTTAATCAACTCTATAGAAATCGCTCATATATCATCGTTCCTTTTGTAAACATAGGGGACCCATCTACACTTGGTAAGAATAGCTATGAGTTCAAGTATGTAATAAATAATAATGACCGTTAGTTTTATAACAACAACAGAAGGTATTAAATAATGATCACTTACTGTTTACATGCATTGCGACTGCAAACTAAATAAGTTCATCCTGTCTTGTGTACGTGTCGTCTGGTAACTGAAAGAGAAGTTTAAATAAAAAACACATGTCATGTACCACTTCTTAAAACCACGGTCCTATTTCTTCAGCTGAAAGATCGGTATTGTTTTTCACAGCTTTAGTCAAATAATAATATTGATACCGTTAATATATTTAGGGGTAGACTATGTCCCACCAAACTAATTATTTACGATAATAAGGGTTTGGGCCTTAAAAACTTCATTACTACTTGTTTGCTTATGAATTTATAAATCAGAAATCAGTCAAATCTATAAAGGGTCTGTAGCAGACGTCACTCGTTGAGCAGAATATCAGATCATCACATTTAAAAATGGAATATAGTCATAGCTACATGTTCTAGAAATGTGTAGTATACGTGTATGCTACATTCCTGTATTATGTGAGTGATTGCTCACTGAATAATCTCCGCTTACGCTACTCTTTTACAATACGCATGTATTCAATTGGATAGATATATTTACCGGAGACGAATAATGAACTACCGTTCTTTGTTAACAAACAATTTTGGCAAGAGGCCGATGGCTACGTTGACGTGCGTATTTTGACTTTTTGACGACCTTAGCATAACAATGAATATGTATTGTGAAAACTAAGGTTAGAACTACAGCCTTTGTGTTAATGATTAGTAATTATTACATTGCAGAGATTTATACTTACAGATGCAGTTAGATATAAACGTCTTATATAACATGTTTTAGGAAACACATCTAAATATATTTCGTATTTTTAAAACAGGCAAAATAAGAGAAGAAATTACAACGTTTATTACAATTATTTAGTTAAAGAAAATAACAACATTGTTACAAATCAAAAGAATGTATAAAAGTTTTAAGATCTCTTTTTGTTATCTTGCTGGTGACCTTGGAAAAGATCTTGAAGATGTAACTGACCACTTTTCTCATCCCAGCTTTCCAACTACCCAGCAGTACGTTTTCTCTTAACCAAACTTATCGTTTTTAAAAGTGAAAATACCATGAATGTTAAAGCTGTGATGGGTAGTCAGACTACTAAACTAATGTCGACGTTGATGGTATCTCTGCTAAAATGTTAAAAGCAGCTTATGAAGAATAATATCAACATTTTACTAATTTTTAAACTTTTTAGCGATATTTTAAACCTTTTCTGACTGCTTTTAAAACGGGCTTTGTGTGTCTGTCTGTTCTGCTAAGGCTCCCAGAGGATTGGCGTCAGGATTCGGATGGCCATAAGCTCGTGGGAGCTTTCATTCTGGACTTTTCCATGGCTTTTGATTGAATTCCTAGTTCACTGTTACTGGGGAAGCTGAAAGTATATGGGCTGGACGAGTCAGCCATTGAACTTGTCAGTAGCCACCTCAGTAGCAGGCAGCAGAGACTCAGACTCGGCCCAAAGGTTCAATAGTTGGACCTTTAATTTTTAATATCTTCTAAATGACATTTTGTTAACACTAAATGACGCCTGCTGAGGTTTCTTCTGGAAAACTTCCTTTCAGTAAAGGTAAACCAGGTGAGAGCGGACAATGTACATAAGACAGGCAGGAGAGTGACAAACTTAAAGATCCGAAATTTGTTGAAAGTGTAAATATTTATGATATAATTTGTCTATATGAGTGCTGGGTTAGCCGAACGATGATTATAACTGCCTGGTTACTGTAAATATCAATTTCCTCGTATTATTGCAAAAGGGGATGGGATTATAATTTATGTGAAACATTGATTGGGTGAAATTCGTACATTTGTTGAAAATATTTTAGATTTCATTGTGATTTTGAAGTTAAAAAGCATCGGTGAAATTGAGGCTTAACATAATACTTATATAAACAGATCTTTCTATGATAAAAATTATATAGACCCATTTATATGTCTAGAAGAATGTGTATATAAATACCATACACATGGTGATATTGTTGTCACGGGTGATTTTAATAGTAGAAGTGGTGATGCTGATAATTTTATTCGATTTGATCGAATAGTAGAATTGTCTGCTGATATGTTATCAAATATGTTTTAGTTATAATAGATGTGATGATGACCAAATATTTCAACGTAGATCAAAATGTAAATCAATTTGGTAGACAATTATTAAAAGTTTGTAAATCAAACGGTCTGAGCATTTTTAATAGTAAACATCCTGTTGATCCTGAGGGGGAGATATTAATTTTATAATAGAAACAGAACTAGTCTTATTTATTTTGTTTTAGTTCAAGACAATAAGGTAGATAATATCAAAACCTTTAAGACAGGTGTTAACAATTTTACAATATTTTAAATGACTTAATTGTTCCTTATAGTACACTCACAACCAGAAAAAAAGTAAGCAGACAAATGTTGTCAAGGGAGATAAGCCATGGTTTACGGAATCATGTATGCAATGTACACTAATCTAATGTGAACAGAGAATCTCTAGTAAACAAAAGAAAACTATAGGAAACTTGATTATAAGCTAGATGAATATTTTGTTAATTGCAAAGATATTTTAATGCCATGTTTATTGTTATTATTCAGTAATATATTCAAGTCTGATTATTTCCCGTCATCGTGGTCACTTGGTTATATAGTTCCTGTTTAAAAAAGGTGACGTTAATAACACGGTCAACTAAAGAGGTATCACATTGTTAAGTTGTGCTGGTACGCTATTTACTGCTATCATAAATGAAAGACTCGTAAAGTTTGAAATGAAATATAATAAAAAAACACTTCTACCATAGACGCCATCTTCGCTTTACAATCTTTAATTAATTGTACTTTAAAAGAAGAAAATGTCTCTGTTGTTTTATAGATTATACAAAAGCGTTCGATTATATTAACAGACAGAGGTTATGGTATAAAACTTTAAAGAAGGTGTAGAAGGTAAACTTCTTAAAGTAATCAGATAATTATATAAAAGTGTGAAATGTTGTGTTAAATATAACAGTATTCTCTCTGAATTTTTTCATATTGAAAAGTGATTATTTTTGGGGGGAAAATTATCGCCCTTTTGTTTGCTATAGATGTTATTGATTGTGAAATGCAGTTTTTATCAGATAATTGTCCATCTTTTGAAATAATGGATATCAATATGTTTCTACTTATGTATGCAGACGATGTGGTAATCATATCTAAAACACCAGAGGGTTTGCAAACAATGTTAGACTCTCTTGCAAGTTATACCGAAACAATGGGATTTGACTGTAAATACTGGAAAAACTAAAATTGTCGTGTTTAGAAATGGAGGGATATTAAGGGGTAATGAAATATAGTTTTACAAATGAAATGAATAGGATGTTGTGATCATTCGTTTGAAATTTGAGAAAGATCCGTCGAGTATTTCTAGAGTGAAACAGACAGACAACCAACAAAGGGAGATCCGAACAACAATAACGTACCATCTGATGATGGTTGGTGAACACGCACAAAAATAATAAAGCATTTATATTGCAAACTAATTGATTTACAAAATTGAACTGAGGCGCTTTATAGTACAGGTTAAAATCATCGTTCGTGAGTAACTCTAAAATAAATGTTATCTATAAATGAATTCAAAATTCACATTTACATCAGTGTTTCTCATATAAACATAGGGAAACATAAAAATAACACTATTTTTAAACCCTTCTTAATCATGACCATCGCTAAAAATATACGGAACAAAAATAAAAGGTTTACACTTTATGAATACCAACCAACTCGACAGTCAATTCAGATAGTTTCAGAATAAAATTTGATACAATGGCATTTTAGTGTATTCCCTTTAAATATTATTTTACACGACAAAATCAGAAAAAAAGGCGTGAAAGTAATGATCACTTACTGAATAAATGCACTGCGATAGCCAACTGCTTACTAAATCACTTCCGCCTACCTTGTGTACTCGCCGTCTTGGTAACTAACCAGGAAGTATAAATATAGGACACATGTCATATACCCCTTCTGAGAAATCGCGTCACTCATTTTCAATTCATATATATATATGTGTGTGTGTGCGTATATGTTTTACAAATATGTAAGGTGTGGGGTGTATATATCACACAAGTCCTTCATTTGTTTTACATTTATTGTTCTTTGTCTCCCGGAAGAAGGAGCCTGTAAAATAAATACAAATACACATACAGTAAATGCCGAATTCTTAATAACTACTATTATCTCTAATAATGGACAATTATATATAAATTTGTTCATTCTAATATAATAACAGTTATTGTTAAATTTAAACAGGACGTTGTAGTTAGTCTGTCTTACCAGGGCTTCGGCCGGACAGTATCTTGTGGTAGATTGCTATATAGCTGCAGGTACAATGCACATGTATGCTGATCTGCTGCTCATCTCGGAGTGACTGGACAAGGGTGTGTAGGGTGTGAGGAAGGTGGTTGCACATGTATATGCGTCGTTCATATAGACCGAGCTACAAGCACAACATCATGTATTGGGTAACCCTAGATATAAATATACACAAAGTCTTTATACTTTCCCGCTAAGTGAAATGACTCCAGGCATTCCCAATACTAAGTATACTCCAAAACAATTAAATAAGTAAAATGTATTTGCAATATTCTAGTTTGAAATAACACCACTGTTCCAGCATATAATATGCTGACGTGTTGGATAAACTATTCGAACATAATGTGTTCACCTTGGACACCCCGAAAGCATCTAGTTGCAATTTACATTAATTAGAGCAGAGCTAGTCGGCTCAGGATAAATGTACCAAGGAACAACTGGGAACATAACTTATATAATAACATTTTTACAAATGATAGGTTATGTACACCTTTAGAGGAATGGATATAATTGTGGACGTCTTATGTTCCAAACCTCCTCTATTGCATGTTGTGGTGTTAATAGCCAGTTGGGGAAATATGATAATAAATATGTTCAAAATTACTTTGACAAGTACATGGTATGCATCCCAACATATAGCTTAGAGTGCACAATCACAGTACTGATACTCGGGATCAGACTACTATCTATGACAATATAATACAACACAGATGGTAATAATAATCAACATGTGATCCAAAGGATTTAACTCTTTGTCAGTTGTAAAACTGTCATTACCCACCGGGAAACACTGCTGGATTTTAAATATAGGTAATGGGTTGGTAAAAATATAAATCATAAGTCCTTGGAATCTATCAATGGAGAGGTTGGGGATACCTCTACCGGTCTTCGGTTTAGACCCAAAAAGTACACATAACCGCTAAAAAATGTGTGTATATTAAAAACAAGACAAGTATTTCGGATAGTTCAGAAACGATTCTGTTACAAGAACGTAAAGATTGCAAAGGAAATACCATGTTTCCGTATCGAACAGGAGGGTTACGTTCTCGAATCGAACGTCTGACCTCTGGTGTAACAGGGTCAATGGTGCTTTCCTCATGAATACTGGGTTCAATACCAGTGTGATCACTACTGAACAGCTCAAGATCCTTAACTGGACCTGATACAGACAGGTCCACGATACTGGGCGATCTATTGAGCTCGTTGTCACTGATATCAGGTATTGTCTCAAATCCAGAATCATCAAAATTTACAGGTATTGACTCCCAACCAGATGGTGCTAGCCCACGTTGTGTAACTGATGGATTTTCCGTTTGCTGCTGCTGATACCTTCGTTGCCTTGGAGGTTTCACCATCTCATCTGCCGACTCTGTTTCAGTGTCAGAATATGAAGATGCTGATCAGTGTATCTTATTAGGAGGGGGATCTGACTTTAAAGTGCGGTTTTGCACTGTAGATGGATCTTTCACAGGGATTGTGTAAAACGGGAGCAGCATGTTTCTGTGAAGGGCCTTAGAGGTCCCCTTACCAGATTCACGATTTATCTCGTAATCTGGAATATCACTATTTGGTATTTTAGAAACCAAACAGGCTTTACAGTTGACCATACCCAGGTGCGCCTCGTGTATCCGGTCTACGCAATTGTTCCAGTTAGTTTGAATATTTGGGGTTACTTCTGTTTTGGTTTCTGGTCATCCGTTCATGATTCGTTGTCTCAACGTTGACATTTCTATGTCGTTCTCTGTAGATTTCTTGATGGTTTCATACCTTTCTGGCGAGACTGGCAGATACGACAGTAAATAGAGCTCATTGACGGTAAGATCCTATATTAATGTTTTCTCCGTTTCCTTCAGGAATGCCTTAGACAGTGTGTCTACCACAAACAACAATTTGCGCGGCTTGTACGTTACCTCTAGGTCATACTCTTGAAGCGTGAACAAAGGTTTCTGAAGACATGCAGGTAATTGATGCATCGACTTATCGAATATGCTCTGTTAAGGCTTGTGGTCAGATTCCACTAAGACCTTTTCCTCATAGAGGTATTGGTGGAATTTAGTGCATCCGTACACTATTGCGAGAGTCTTTTTCTTTATCTGTGAGTATCGTTACTGCGTAGGAGTTAATGCCCTTGAGTCATATTCAATAGGTTTACCATCCGGTAGGATTGCTGCATCCATTCGTTATGTGCTGCTGTCAACCGTCAATACAATTTGTTTGTTCGTGTCCAAGTACGTTAGTACTGGTGCTTTGGTCACCTTTAGTTTCAACAAGATAAAACCTCTTCCTGTTGGGTTCCCCATTCCCACAGTGTGTCCTTTCCCAGGAACTGTCTTAATGGCGCGGCCACGTTAGACTTGTTCGGCAAGGACTTGGCGAGGTATTGTACAAATCCTAGGAATGTCATTTGTTTTTTTATGCTGTGGTGCCTTCATTCCTTCCACAGCCCTAACCTTGTCGGGTTCGGGTATTAGTCCATCCTTGCTGAAGACGTGACCCACAAAGGTCACTTCCTGTCAGCCAAATTGACATTTTTCAGCATTTAACTTGAGGTTATATGTCTTGGCCTTTCCAGGGACTTCCTTTAACTTTCTGTCATGCTCCTCGACTGTCTTGCCCCAAAACAAAATGTCGTCTACTATGGCTTCTGCGCCATCTTTGTCTTCTTCCATGTTTGATATTACGGACTGAAAGACTTCGGGAACCGAGTTTAATCCAAATTGTATTCGGCGAAATCCTGCACAGTTTTGAACTTGGCTCGTCTAGTTGTAATTGCCAAAACCCTGAGGTAGCATCCAGTTTGGATAAATATCTCGCATCCGGAGTTCGAGCAACTATTTCCACGATGGTCAACATCGGATTGTGTTGTCTCTTGATAGCCACATTCAAGTCTCTTGGGTCTAAACAAATTCTGATTTTACCGTTTGGCTTGGATACTGTGACCATACCCAATCAGAAGGTCCCTTCTTTCGCACGATTATGTCGTTCTTTTCCATCTGTGCTAATTCCTGTTTTATTGCCACTGGCACTTTTCTTGGAGGGTGAATCACAGGCTGTACATTACTATCAATGTGTACGATGTGTTTACCAGGCAGGCAGGCAGGCAGTCTACTCTTCTGAATAACTCTCCTTGAGTTGTTGGTAATGTAATTGACTGTTATTAGTGTCAAAGTTCGATCCAACACTAACATACAACTATACGTTCCAATGATTGTTGGGAGCTGTTTTCTCGATGACTTGAAACTGTAGTTTGTGCATATTCCTGTCCTGAAAATGACATTGTCGTTTGACAGTACCAATGGGTCTGCTATAAAATTTCAGCGTCGCTTCTGATTTTTCTAGTGGAGTTTTGACATTTAATTTCTTCAAGGTGTTTTGACTAATCACATTGCACCTGGACCCCTTGTCATCTTGCATCATTTTCTGTTTGTTTGTACCCTGTACAACTCACTGTCCAATCATCATTAAGCGTGTTGACCAGTATCTCGTATATCATTCCTTCTTACAAGTGTGTATCACTGTCACCAGTCATACTGTCATTTGCGGGGTAATCCTCCACAATATGTAGTCTTTTTACCATTGCACTTTTTGTTTCCTGAATACCTTTATTTCGCATTTTTTTTCCTCACTACGACATTGGCTCGCGAAATGAATCATCTTTTTGCATAGGTTACATTTCTTACCGTACGCAGGATATTTTCTGATTTCATTATCACTGCAGAATAAATCGATATAATATTAAACATGCCTACACTTGTAACATTTCAGTTGTTCAGATTTTTGTGTCGTTGTCGCGTACTCTGTGTATTTCTACTATTCTTGTTCGTCGTCGTTTGTCGTATCATGTGTACTTTTGGGTCCTCTCGACTTAATACGCTTTTAAGCTGTTTCTGTTCGCGTCCGTTATATTCAATGTAGAATAAATATTCCTACTTTTTACACCCACACACAACATCATGTAATTACACGTTTGTTCTTCCGTCTTTGCGCTGAGCCCAAATGAGTTTTGAAAGCTTTGAAAGCCGCCGGTAAGTCATTAGATGACAAGTCTATTTTCGGGTAAGTTTCCTTTTCCATCTTTTGACAATGGCGTTACTTTGTTCCGTAACGTTTTGAGTGTCTTCCTTACTTATTTTCCGTCCTCGATGCTAGGAGGCGATCGGATTCGCGTCTGATTCTGACACCATGGCATGTCAATAACAAGAATCACGCCATAATTAGCGGCACATTTCGACATTTTAGGTTATTTCATATTCCATAAGGTAAGTATGTGTAGGTATGAAATAGAAAGGTAATTATTCTGTATTTTGTATTTCGCGGGTTTAGAAAAGCGCGACAACTTTATATTTACCTGGGCACGCGCAGTGTTGTTTTGACAGGTGCAAAAGACAGGTGTAATGGCGTGGCCCGTTGTTTTTATAACTGCCTCTATTATCGTGGTGTATTCGGGAGTAAAATACAGCTAATGTTTCAAATTTTTCAACCATCGATATAGATCTGTGTGTATTTCGTGAGTTAGATCGTTGAAACGGTATTTCTTAAAAAGTAAACAGGTGCGAAAATGTACGGTGCGCAGTGAGAGCAAACGCGTTTGGGTGGTAT